GGCCGTGGGACAGTCCTCCTGGACCGCCAATGGCAGATGCTATGCTCCCAAATCCACATCCACATTTGTGCCAGGACCTTCACCCCGGGCCCTCATCCCTCCGCATCCACTTCCTGTGCCTGTCACTAACTTCCTGACCGGCTTCCTTTCAGACTGGCCCCACATCCCGGGGGCACAGACGGCCTCTCAGGACCCCAGCTACAGCACGAGCTCCTGGGGACGGGTCTGCCTCTACCACCCTGCCGTGCCCTTGTGCCCAGCCCTACGTCCTAGGTGCCCATGGGGGCCAATCAGGGAGGGGTGGAGGGGTGCTCAGACTCACCCACCTATGTGCGGATCCAGAGGCACTCTGCCGAGGAGCGGGACCTTCAGGTCCTGGCACATGGCTGCCGCACCGCCGGTGGTGGGGGGGAATATCTGAGACTCCTTCTGTGAGGGGAGGAAACATGGTCTGTTTCAGGCTCTCGGGATGGACGCCGTGTACGAGAAACACACAGAAATGGCTGATCAGGAATGCAAACCACTGAACACCGGGAGTTTCCCTGTCGTCCGCAGGAGAGGGTTTGAATGCTGATCCCACTTCCTGCAATGGCGGGGCAAACAGGAAGGGCTCTCCCAGCACCGCTCACCTTACACTTGGGGCAGATGAAGCCACTCATGTTCTCCACCACCCCGATGATGGGCAGCTTCACCTTGTGGCAGAAGTTGATCTCCTTGCGGACATCCTGGAGCGACACTTCCTGTCAGGGTTAAACCAGACCAGCTGTTCCTGTCAGCGTGGGAGAAGGGGGATGTCGCGTGCTCGAGGGGACGGCTGCTGGGCAGCGGATTCACCACCACCAAGCCCTGGGATTCATGCGGCTTCTTCGGTCAGTGTTTACTCAATGCCTCTGGGCGCTAAGCCCTACTCTAGGTGCTACTTATTTCCTACAAAACCCTGGAAGGATCCATTTGAACAGCCCAAACTGGCAAACAAGGAACGGATACCAGAGCCCTGAGTGCATCGCGATGCTCAGCCTTCTTGTAACACACCACGCTGGGCCGAGGTCGAGGAGTACGCGACTGTCCAGGTGGACCTCGGCCCCCTAGAGTCTGTGGGCACTCCGGCTGGTTCCTCACATGCTGTCGCTGCTGCCACTCTGCACGGGCACGGCTGAGTAGCTGTGACAGCGACCTGAACCCACAAAGCCTCAGGTGCTTACTAGTCAGCCCTTAGTGAGGTGATGACGAACACAACCGAGGAGAACACACCTTGTAGAACAGAGGAGAACAAGGACTGCTCCCCACCGTGGCTCATGTTGAATGCACTTCTGAACCCTGAAGGTCTCTTTCAGAGGGCGGCCGTGGGGTACAGCATCTCTTCGCACCCCGACTAGTTTCCCCATCAAAGCCACTGCAGATGTGGGTCCCAGTACTCGCCCTGCTTCTGACAGTCTGTACGGCGACTGCATGGCGCACCTGCGGCTCAACCCTCCTGGGCTCCCAGAAGGTTTGTGGCTCACAGGGGCCTGTTTTTCTAAGGGAGCTGAGAAAACACGATAGGCCTGAGGCCCGAGGCCAGAGCACAGGGACAAGGCAGCCGATGGGAAGCAGACCAGCTGTCCCTTGGTGTTGCATCGCCTCACACCTCCACGTGTCTCTGCTCAGCTTCCTGTAAATAGAAGCTTTGCTGCTTTGTCAACATAGCCCCTAAAATCCCACCAGCCTGAGTCGGTGCAGGGCGTGAGGGGCTCTGGGGGAGTGGTGTCCTGGCTGGAACCACATTTTGCGGAGAAGTCTGCAAAGCGCACGCAGAGTGGAGAGCCTGGAGAAGGGCCAGCACCTGCCACTCCATCCCCTCTCCCTGTACCCCAGGGGACTCCACATTTCCTCTCAGGGTGCCACTGGAGGAGCCACCTTTGTGCCAACTAGATGTTCGCTGGTGCTGATGCTGTTCTAACAGGTTTTTAGAGCAGTCTCAGGTCCACAGCAAAGTGAGTGCGAAGCCTAGTTCCCACGCCCCTGGCTCCCACACGGCACAGCCTCTGCCACTGTCCACACACACACCATTGGGCCCATCCAACTTTGGGGACATTTCTTTGGGGACCTGCTTGTGATAGTACCGCTGGCCTAAAGAGGGGGGCCCAACCTCTTTGTACGACTCCAGAAGAAAATGTTCCTAAGGATAAATCCATCCCTGGGCAGCAGCAGTGCCTGGGCCAGGCCACCCTCACTCCTGTCTAGCTACCTAACTCATGCCCTGCTCCTCTGAGTGCCCTGGCCACTCGTCTCTACAGGGTGCCAGAGGGAGCTGAGGGGCCTAAACCCACCAAACCACTGCCTGACCAAGAAACCCTTCCTGTGGTCTGCCCTGCTGGTCACTCCGCGCTGTCTTTAGAGTGGCAGTCTGTCTGGCTGCCCTGGAGCCCAGCACACAGTAGGTGCTCAGTGAGTCCTAGATGGACAGGGACCACAGGGTCACCCTCGCTGTGCCTTCTAGCGGTAAAGGGCTTCACAGGAGAGGCCCACTGAGCAGAGAGCGGTTGGTCTGTGGGTCTTTATGCTCGATGCCAGTCAGTCCTGCCTGGGTTTGCTCCCGCTGGTTGCCTCACGCGGTCCTTACTCTCACTCCCTGGGCAGAGCTTCCAAATGACCAGGGCAGAGGGAAACTGGTATCACCAAAGAAAGGGCATGGACGCCAGAACTGACCCAGAAATCCCTGCCAGCACCCCAGCCTGGTTCTGTTGGTAACTGGGGAAATTTCCTGACCTGGTCCGAGATGTGAAAGGAAGAAGCTCGGCAGACGGGAACCCTGACACGGAGCGTGGCCCAGGATGACACGCCACGTGGGCCTGGCTAAGCAACAGCACCTGTGGTCTCTGGCAATAATGAACCATTGGTGTTTAACCTCTGGAGACTGGGAAAAAACTGTGGAATGTTTTTTATCACGGTAAGTACCTAGAACAAAGATAAAAGTTTTCTCCAGGAGGTTTCTGCAGCTCCAGGTCAGGTGTGGTGGCAGAACACAGCCGGGAGCTGCCAGAGACCAGGGTCACACTGTGTAGGAGAGAAACCTCTCCACTGGGGCAGGTCTGGGCCAGCCGTGCTCACCTGGGGCGTGGTGATGATCACGGCACCGTCGATGTGCGCTGCGGCCAGGTACTGGACCACCGAGAGGTGCTCGTCCGACGTCCCGGGCGGGGTGTCCACGATGAGGAAGTCAACTTCGCCCCAGTCCACGTCACGGAGGAACTGCTTGATCATGCCTGGAATGAGGAAGCCCAGGTGAGGCCGGCCTTTCTTCCCGCTGTGTTCACGACTCTCGTCACAGAGCACAGCTGGTCACTTGTGTGCACGCGAGCTCCACTTCAGGGTGTTCTCCCCTGGGCGACGCTGCGCTGTCTGGGGGCATTTCTGGCTGTTACCACCAGGGCAGGGGTGCTACTGGCACCTCGTGGGTGGAGGCCAGGGACAGTGTGAAACCTGATCACAGAGCGCAGGCCACACCTCTCCCACTCCAGTGGTGGTGGTGGCTAGGCTGCAGGGGCTTGCCCTAGTAATGCTTTTCTGTTGCTGCCCTCAGTCTGGGTGCCACATCCACCTGGGACAGACCCCAGCCCCATACTTGTCTCTGACACAAACACCCCACTATAAAGCCAACAGCAAAACAATTCCAGGGACCTATGGTTTTCAAGGAGAGAAAAGTCACAGCAGATACTAAAGGTGACGTAACAGAAACTAGCATGTCTATGAATTTCACCAACCGGTGAAGAAAGAGGCAACTGGAGGCTTAAAAGTAAGGTGCTACGACACCCAGCAGGGAAGGCCCCGCCATCCCGGCAGGACTTGGTAAGGACGACGCAAGGAAAGGAGGAGGAGAGGCAAACCATTCTTCTTTGGTCCCCTCCAGATCACGGCGTCGTCGGGACTGCTGAGCAAGAAACCCACTGACATCACCCCCAGGTTGTCGTCCACGTACTGGAGAGGGAACAGGGGTGAGGGGAGACATGCGTTACTCAGAGACAGAGAGGCACTTCCCCGTGGCTTTTGCCTCACCTCTGGCTGAAAAACCCATTCTGGAGCTCAAATGACATGTGACCTATGAGTATATTCACTCCCTGTCTCCTCAGATCGTTTTTGAAAAAGAATGGTTACCACACTGGAAGGATCTGAAAGGGGCCCTGTGTGGCCATGTGAGACATGACAGTAAACATGTGGGATAAGTAAAGGTCACCTCAACTGTCTCGACCTGAGAACTGCAAACTCTGGCCCCTGGGGCCCAACCTGGCCCACTGTTTCCTTTTCTTTCCTTTTTTTTTTTTTTTAAATATTAGAGACTCTTGCTATAGGACATGCATGTTCACTAGATAGACAGAGAGAGATAGGAGAGACAGAAAGCGAGAAATCACCCTCACAAGGTGGATGGCCACGCCACACTGCCTTCTCCTTCGTTCTCCTCCCGGGATCTTGGGCACACATGTACATGCGCCCAGGGTGATTTTAAAGCCATTGGGTCTGGGACTCGAACCACAGTCGGCCATGTGGGAATCCAGCAACGTATCCACTATGCTATGGGCTGGTCCCAACCCACCATTTGTTTTATAAATTAAACTTTGTTAGAATACCATCATAGTTGTTCAGTTACACGTTAGTACTCTTGAGCTACAACAGCAGAGTTTAAGGCCTACAAGGTGAAAATATTTACTCTCTGACCCTTTTACAGAAAGTTGGCCAATCCCTGTGCCTTGGAAAGTGCCTCAATAAATACCAGCGGATTGACAAACAGGTGGATGGAGAAAAATGCCGCCAACCCACCACCGACCTACTGCACACACACAGCCCGCACGAAGGCCCTGAAAATAAGGAAGAAGAACACTCACCACTGGAGACCAGCCTGAGCCGCTCTGGTGAACCTGCGGGGACACAAGCATCCATTTCAGCCCGAGAAACCGTGCCCCTGCTCACACTCACGCACAAACTGTATAAAGCGGACGGTTTCATAAAACTCGCCATCTCACATGGTAGCACTAGGTTCTTTTTCAGAAAGTATTTATGTATTTCTTCCATGAGAGGAACAGAGAGCAAGGCAGGCCCCTCAGCACAGGGCCCTGACTCTACAATCCACCCCCAGTCTTGGCCAGCCCAGGTCATGGGCCCACAGTGCGCACACCCACATGCACGGGGTGGTCCTGGGACGTGAAGCAGGACCTCTCCACGGGGCCCTGTTGCATTCTCGGCACCACTGCCTGGCTCTGTGTACCACTGAATCTTGACTGGCCAATACCCTTTGCTCTTCTAGTCAGGTCATTTTGAAACGCTACCTGGGCATCTAGTCAGGGCATTCAAATCCAAATCTGGGTCTGACATATTCTTTAAAAAGAAATCAGTTGTGGGTTATTGGAAAAACACAGGTAACCGCTGAGCAACAAGGTTGCTTTTGCGAGCATCCAGGAGTCAAGGGCAGAAAGCGCCTTTAGTGAAGTGGTTGATTCAGAACCTGCCCTGCCGCTGGCCTGAGCTTCGGCTCTGCTGCTGCCCTGAAGAGCAGGAGCCAGGCTAAGGGAGAAGCCTCTTGGGGCTCCTCCAAGCCTCAGATGCCCCCAGCGGCAGGTTCCATTGGGGTCCAAGTATCAGCTCTGCACTGCCTCTTTACCATGAAACGAGAACTTCAGCAACTCCCAGTTATGCATCAGATGTGGAAACTCTCCTCTCTAGGGCAACCCATGGAGCCCAATCACAGGTCTGTTTCTCTTGATGAAATCTCACTCTCTCCAACAGCTTTACTGAGCACGATGCACACGCCACAGAGTTCACTCGTTCAAACTGGGCATCGGAGTAGCCTTTTGGGTATTGAGGGGTGGGCCGTCACCACAGCCAATCACAGAATATCTTTGTCACTCAGAGAAGAATCCCTGTGCCCCTCAGATGTCGTCCCCCAAGCCACAGGCTGAGACAGCCCCTCACCTACTTTCTGTCACGACGACCTTGCCTGCAATGTACATTTCGTAAGATGGAGCCATGTAACACAAGAGACCGTCCTCCTGCCTCGGCCTCCTAAGTAGCTGGGACCACAGGCATGCATCCCCATCAGCAGGCTTTCTAGGTGGGCCAGGAATCGAACCCGGGCCTCCCATGCAGCCTCAGTTTTCAAGCAGCAACATCTACCAGTGTGTGCCACTATGGCAGGACCTAAAGTTCTACTTTAAAAACAAAACAAAACAAAACAAAACAACCTACTCATTCATATTTACACTCGTGCACTAAGTCACCAGTGTCAGAGAAGGGTGACCACGACTATCCGACAGTGTAGAAAAGAACTGGGGACTATGGCTTTACTTTCATCTCATCATTTAAAAATGGCTGCATCTGGGCGGCTACAGTGAGTCCCGTGCACCCATGCTACCACGTGGTACTGATCGGAGTGATCGCAGGGATCCCCTGCTCTGCCTCAGCTGTGGGGGAAGGTGCCAGTGGTTGATTCAGAACCTGCCCTGCCGCTGGCCTGCTTCTGCATCCTCAGAAGCAACCCCCAAGACCTCAGCAGAGCCCGCAAGAGCTGGCCTCACCTGCCTTGGGCTGTCTTCAGGCCCATTGGCCACTCTGCTGGGGACGTCCTGGCTTTAGGGTCCCTGCACTTGCCCCTGTGGCCCAAAATGCTCCTAACTGCCCACGTGACTGACTGCCTCCCTTCACCATCTGCTCACATGCCAGTCTCAGGGAGGGTGCCTCTGACCTCCCAATAGCCCTGCCTGGCCGCTTACCCTACTCTAGTTTGGTGTCATCTACCACCTGCCCTCTCCCCCGAGGGAGGGGTCTTTCTCTGCCCTGTTCACCCCAGAACAGTACCTGACACTAGTAAAACGATCAGCACATCTTGAACCCCAGGACCTCCGGGCATCCCTGTCCCGGCTTCCGTGTACTATCCTGGGGGGAATCCTTTCTTGGTTGGCTTTTAGCTAACCAGAGGGAGGGACTGGCTTCTGCACAGACTGCCGCGACCCTGCCCCCAGCCACGTCACCCGCCAGCCTCGCAGTCTCAGTTCCCCAGGGGAGACCACAGGGCAGAAACATTCCCTTGCATCCAAGGTACAGCCCCTCGTGAGTCCTGGCCACGCGTTCCCAGACAGCTAAATTTCCGTGTCTTGCTTCTGCATTTCGCTTGCTGTTTCTCTTCCCTTCTAAAAGGCATCGAAACCAATGGTTCTCAAATGGTGTAGATGGACTTTACATATCGTACTGTCCCCCCAGATCCATAGCTACTGTTAAAGGAGACAGAGAAACTTACAATGGCGTTGGTCCAGCAAGTCTGTGTGTAAGCGGATGGGCTTGCTTACCGCTGTGGGCTTCAAGTTCAGTGCTACGCACGCTGCCTTAAGAGAATGACTTCTTGCGTCCAGGACCACTGCTCTTACCTGTTCCCCTTCCAGTCCCATTATCTTGGGAATAGACGGCCCACATATGTCGATGTCTAGAAGAGCAATCTGGAATGGCAAGAGACAGAGCAGGCCTAACTGAACGTGCACGTTACTCCACATCTGCACCACTGCGGGGGGTTGGGCAGGGGAACAAGATGGGGAGGAGACAGGAGACCTGGTCAGCCTGGGAGCAGCCTGATTCTGAAGAGGGACAGCAGCAGCACCGATGGCCCAACCCACAGGAATGCACGGTCTCGAACTCCTGAAGAGCCCCTGGCAAGGTCATCACACTGACGCCCATTGGCTGAAGTCCTCCAGGGCAGGGGTCCCCAACCCCCGGGGCCACAAGGGAAGTGAATCTCCATCTGTATTTCCAGCCACTCCCCCTGGCTCACATTACCGCCCCCGAGCGCCTCCTGTCAGGTCAGCATTGGCAATGATTCTCGTAGGAGTGCGGCCCCGCTGCCAACTGTGCACACAGGGGTCCGGGTTATGCGCTCCTTGTGAGAATCTCATGCCAATGATGTGAGGTGGAGCTGAGGCGGTGATGCTAGCAGAGGTGAGCAGCTGCAAATACTGCGTTATGGTCAGCTGTGTATTTCATTACGTGTCATGACGTAACAATAGAAGATGTACGATAAAGGTCATGTGCTTGAATCACCCCCAAACCACCTCCACCTCCCGTCCGTGGAAGAACTGTCTTCCACGAAACCAGCCCCTAGTACCAAAAGAGCTGGGGACTGCTGCTCTGGAATGACCTTACAAACCCGAGTGTCAGGTAACACGGGGACTCAGGTTCAGCCACTTACTCCTAAGCCCTGACTGCGTGGTTAGGAGGCGAGGATACTGCATTTGCGTTACAGAAAAGGCAGCTGAGGCAGGCCAGCCCTGTACCCCAGGGTACGGTAAGATTCCGGAGCCCACGTGGCCAACATGGTTTGAGTTTTGGACCTGGTGGCTTGAAAAACATGCTGGGCACACGTGTGTGTGCATCCAAGACCCTGCCGGGCAGGAGAAATGAAGGAAAAGGATCTGCCCACTTGGGGGTGCTTTCTCCTCCTCTCTGATGAGCACACACATCCTCGGGCAATGAAAACAAAGAAAAGGAAAGTGAAGTTCAGAGAGGCCCTCATTGAACTGACTTGTCCAATGAGCAGGGACAGGGCCTGGACACACACCGGGGTCCTCCAACTCTAAGGCCAGGGCTCCTCTACGCCCCTGTGGGGCCCCACGAGGATGGCTGGGGCAGGACTGAGCTCTGACGAGCCCCACTTTACAAAAAGACACTTAAAACAAGGGCACATCTCTTTTCTAGCAACAGAGCACAGCCCCCAATAACTTCTTTACCCTGAACTCCCTGCTTTCCCAGTCCCGTAAATGGGAACTTCTAGGACAGCCTTCGGGCTGAAGAGCAGGGCTCGGATTCATCTTGAAAGCTGTACAGTCTCGGATCTAAAGTGCAGCACCTCTGGGTAACTTTTTAACTTGCCCAAATTCGCTTCTTGTTTCCCATTCCATTCTCTCACAGACCCAACCTCCCACTTCCTCAGCACAGTCGCCCCCCTGGTGGCCTGGAACTTTTCCTCTAGGTCCGCGCTCTCTTCAGGCGCCCTCTGCTGGACTGCCCAGAGCACAACAGAGTGACTCACGGGATGGCCTCTGCCTTGTGTGACAGATGCAGCAAATGGACTTGAGGTGTGTCAATGACGCAGTCATTTCACAGCAGGGTCTGATGATCTGGGAGATGGCACCACACTGCGACCCCGACAGAGACCTTCCTCAGTACCCAGTCTCCACGCCCTTCTTCCCGGGAGTAAGTGAATCCTTCCATGTGAAGAATTACACCCCTCCACAAGCGAGGGAGTGAATCTGGACTGGAACGATGCGGACACAGGAACAGACGGCTTGCTCCCATGGCGGCACCCTAGAGACCTGTGACAGTTCCTACCCCCAGATCTCGGGGTAGCCCAAGATTCGATCCCTTCCCCATCTGTCCAAGTCATTTCCTTTCTGCTTAGGTCAGGCCAGAGGACCAGGGCTGACAGAGGCACCTGGGAGAACCCTCAGTGAAGCCCTGAGAACCCTCAGTGAAGAGCAGCACCTGCTACGGGGAGTGGGGCGTGCAGATGCTGAGGGCTGCTGGAACCAAGTGTTCCTCCACCAGCACCCCAAACTTCCCTTAAAAAGCTGGGGCAGAGCATTCCAGTCCCACTTCCTGGTCCCTGCAGCGACATCACCTCACACGAACTGCTTCTGCTCCAAGCCTCACCTTTCCAGGCCGTGATGGGGAGGTCACTAAGGCCCCTTCCAGTCCTGGAGTTTGTCTGTCCCAGCAGAACACCTAGTGTTTTTGTTTGTTTGTTTTTTAAGGTTTTTGCCATATGGCACCTGTGTTCACCAAAGACAGAAAGACAGTGGGCAGGAAAGTGGGAAATCACCCCTCGGGGGGGATGGCATGCCGCAATCTCTTCTCCTCCTGGGATTCTGGGTACACACACATGCGCCGGAATGATTTTCAAGCCAACAGGTCCAGGACTCAAACCGTGGTCAGCCGTGTAGTAGTCCAGTGCCTTAACCACCATGCCAGCTGCTGGCCCCAGTGCTGACCTTTTAATGACATAGCTCACCCATCGGATCACAAAAGGAGGACCACGTATTTGTAGTTTATGGGAGTCAGTAGCGTCTGTGGTGTGGCAAGATGGCGTGTGACTCTTTGATGTTCGAGGCTGAGGCTTACACCGTACACCGTAAAGACTCAATTTACACATTCCTTCACCTGCCTGGAATTAGTCAGGGATGTTTTCCAATTCTGCTCTCTTGATCCAAGGCCCTTTCCAAACAAGTCAGCAGACCTCCCACCTGCCTTAAGAGCAAACACAGGATGGTCCTGCAGTCAGCACTGAGCTTCGACGGCAGGCAGGAAAGGGCCGGAAAGGGTCTCCACCACCCTGCTGGATTTAGGGCAGGAAGATACCCATGCTCCTCCACTTCAGTCAACAAGATGCAGTCAGTGTTTACCACGTGCCGACACTGCGTGCTTCACAGACGGTGATGTTTTCATCATCTGGAGAAGGCCTGCACAGGGCAGCACGCTCTCTTACGTGCCGACTTTCCTTTTTAAACCAGCACTGCAGAGAGGAATACGGCTTACACGGCTGAACATCGACACTGACCGTGCTCTTCCTTCAGTACACAGGGAAGCCCAGGCAGGTGTGCAGCGAGGGCTTCCGAACATCGTTATATGAAAGTGAGCGATGTAAACAGGATCTACTCACAAGTGGTTACGTGCAGCTGACTGGGCTCAAGCCAGTCTCTGGAGAGCTGTGCAAGAATATTCTGAACAGCTTCTAACAGCTAAGGTTTTCTGGGTAGTATGGGCAATCTGAGAGGTTTTTCACAAGCCACTACAAATCTGACCCTCAACTGGCAAGAGACCGTTGGCTCACAGGACAACGAATGGAAAGTCCGTTTTGAACCTGCTCGGTTGCTGTACTTTGGGTAGGCTACACGCTTATCTCTAAAGCAGAAATAATCATCTTCATGGCCCAGTCAGTGGAACAAAGTAATAATAATGACTGCTATTAGAGAACTACATGCTTAGGCACTGTGCTACGTGCTTCGGTTGAAGCATCTCAGTCCTGAGACCCATTGAGGAGGTGAGAAAACCGAGGCAGTGGGCGCCTGGCGGCCCACCCAAGGTCACAGCGGTTTAGCCAGAGCTGGAGTATGACCCCGAGCTGTCTGACTCCAGAGCCTATGTTCTTAGCTACCCACCACACCTTTCTTTAAGCTGAGACCCAGAGTGGGTGGGATCAGGCAACCTGAGTTTTCATGCTATCTGTATACTTTGCTGGAACTGACTGGCCTAGTGCGAGGGTCAGCAAACAATTTCTGCAAGGACCAAAGAGAAACTATTTTAGGCTTTGTGGACAAAATCAAGGATAAGATGTAGGAACTAATGTAGAAAATTTGAAGTAGCATGGGGACCAGCAGACGGTGTAATGGTTACGTCTCTGACCTCCCATGTAGTCGACCAAGATTTGAGTCCTGGACCCGGCAGCTTAAAACTCACACTGGGCATGTGCGTGGTCTAAATCCCAAGACGGGGGTGTCGTCCCCCCCCCCCCCCCGGGGGGTGATTTCTCACTTTCTGTTTCTGTGTGGCAAATGCACATGTCCTATAGCAAAAATCTCTTAAAAAACAAAAAACTGAAGTAGCTATTTAAAAATGTAAATATACTCTTAGCCCAGAGGCCACAGGAAGATAGGGACAGCTGGAAATGGCCTACCAGCTATTGTTTGTGGTTCTTGGCTCGGGGACAGCAGAAAGAAGTCAATAAAGAGGAAAACAAAGTCTGGGCTTCACCTACATCATCAGCATGTAGAGAGAGATGTCCCCCTGCTGGCCATTCTCGTGGCCAGAGAACCCAGTGGGACCTTTCACCTGACTGCATGGCTGTTTCACGTCCTCTCTGTAGGATCAGGAGTCCAAAGAGGCCAATTCAACTTAGTCAAAGGGGTCAGTTCTCTAACAGCCACCGTTGAAGCCTCAGACAGGAGGAGTACCGTTCAGCGATTCCCAGGGTCCCACCTGTGTGTTTTCATCCTCTGCCAGGCCATGGGCAAGGTGGGCACTGAATGTGCTCTTCCCAACGCCGCCTTTCCCGGACAGCACCAAGATCTTGTGCTTCACGGTCTTCATTTTCTCTTTGATTTCCTCGATGGCTGCAAAGAAATCAGTTCGGGTGAGATGTCCCTGACTATATCTTGAATGTCACCCTTCCAATGGGCTAGAAGGAGCTAAGTCCTCGGGGCTGTTCCAAAGGACCCTGTGTGAAATGCTGCCTAGTCAATACGAAGCGCTATAAAGACAATAAGGCTACTGGGTGGGGTGGTGCAGCCAGAATGCCACACTCGGCAAGGCTGACCACGTGGGACGGTTCAAGTCTCATCCAGGGACCCGAGTACACGGGGTACGTGCATGTCCACGATCTGGGGCTGGCTGAAGCAGGGGGTGGATGGTGGCATGGGGACTCTGTGGGGTGCCTGTCTCTTTCGGTCTCTCACTTTCTCACTCATGGAAGCGAGAAATATACTGAAAAAAGGAAAAAAAAAAAAAAGAAAAGAAAAGAAGGCTGAGACCACACATGATTGCTTTATTTACTGGCTTATGTGTTTGTCTCCCTCCACAAGAACACAAGCTCCACGAGGGTAGGGAGAGGTGGTGAGGATTTGAAGCATGCACTGTTGTATTCCCAGCTTCCGTATAGAACCTCACATAGTGTGATGGTTCCCAGCCTGGGGCACAATCCACCTGGAGGGCATCTGGCAAGGTCTAGAGACATTTTGTTGCTACGAAGAGGGGGTGTTACTGGCATCTTGTGAATAGAGGCCAGATCAACAAATGATCTGAAATGTTAGTAGTATCACGGCTGGGACTAGCCCCACGGCCTAAGGGTTAAGAAGGCTGGATCTCACATGGTTGACAATGTGGTTCAAATCCTGGTCCTGGAGCCTTGAAAAATATGCCAGACATGTATGTGTGAATGCTGCAAATTCCAGCAGGATGGAGAAAGAAAGGAGAAAGGCTTGCAGCATGACCATGCCCCAGCAGTTAGCGTAATGGCTATGTCGCTGGACTCCCACGTAGTCGACCACGGTTCGAGTCCCGGACCCGGTGGCTTAAAACTCACGCCGGGCGCGTGTTCATGCGTGCCCCAGATCCCGAGAGGAGAATGGAGGAGAAGGGATTGCGGCGTGGCCATCCCCCCTGGGGGGTGATTTCTCGCTTTCTGTCTCTATGTCTCTCTCTGTCTGGCGAGTAAACGCGCCCTATAGCGAAAACCTCTCCAAAAAAAAAAAAAAAAATAGTGCTGAGTTGAAAAACCCTGAAAAACAGCAGACACATAATAAGTATGTCACTGGTAACTTTGTATATTGTGTGACCATCATTTCATCTTTTTCTAATCCTTAAAATAACATTGTAACTATTTTCCTCCTTTGCTCAAGGTCCCACTATTTGCCGTGAACCTAAGAATCAAATCCAAGCCTCTGAAGATTCCTCCTGTCCCAGCCTCCCACTTTGTAAGATCCCACTAAGTGAACTGCCAGAGTCCTCTTCGCCCCAGAGTTTGGCCAATATACTGTAGGACATAGTTGGTTGTCAGCTCGTTTTTCTCCCAGCTCAACCAAGCTGCACCAGAGCAGTGACCCCGCCTGTGCGCAGAGCACTGTGCCCAAGAGGTGATGAACACACTTCGCTATAGAACGAACAGGTTTCTCAAAGGGAAGAAAATTTTGTCCTAAGACAGTATCAGGCAGAGCCAGGACCTAAGCGTGGTGGCGCCTTAACTCTAAAGTCCCTTTTGGCGGACCTCCTTGGACTCGGCCGATTCCTGTCGCTCAAACCTCGGGCGCCGCCTCTCGAAGTCGCCGACTTTTCACACCTCGAGGTCTTCCGGCCCCGCCCCCGCCTCCGCGCCGTAAGATTCCGCCCCTGTCACTCATTACCCGCGCCCCGCCCCTCACCGCCAACCCTTCACGCCCCGCCTCTTGAGGACCAGCCCGTCTTTTTACATTATAGATACGTATCTCCAGCCCGCACCCGTCACTCATCCTCCATGTACCGCCTCCCCACCACATCACCGCCCAATTATCTCCGGCGCCCCGCCTCTTCCGGGCCTGCGTCTTTCACTTCCCGTTCAGGCCTCGACCTTTCCTCACCCGGGTCCGGAGCAGCGCCGGCTCCAGAGGCGCACAGCCGCTGGTTGGGGCATCCCTGACATGAGGTCCCTCGGCCCGCCTGGGCGCTGTCGGCCCCCGGACAGTCTGCGCGGGGACAAGATCACAGTTAGAGCAGCTCACGTACCGTCAGCCTCGCCACCCACGCCCGCTCTGCGAGCTCACCGTGAGGCGCCTCCTCCATCCCGCCGCTTTTGCCGCCGATGCGGCCACCGGAACCGGCTGTGGCGCGTTTCCGCTTGCAAGCCCAATCTTACTCTTCGGCCGCGCGAAAGAAATCTCGGGAATGACGGAGTGTGCGCACGCGCGAGCCTCATACTGGGTGGGCGGTCTGTTATTTCTGTTCCCTTTAAAATGGGGCTCCAGGTAGGCGTATCCGTCAGAAGCTCTTCAGCTCCTATCTTTTGGGAACAAAGGCGTTACTGTTCATGACCTTAGGACTGTTTTCACACCGCAGGGCTCTGTTTTCACACCGCAGTACAGTTAGCTCAAGTTTCCTCCATTGTCCCAAATTAAGACACCCCTCCTTTCTGCATCCAGGCAAGACTCACTCTCTGGTTATGGTCTCCATTGCCCTTTAATCCTCAACAGTCCTCCCCCGCCCCTTTTTTCTTTAATCGTACTGATAACTGAAGCGTCCAGGCCAGTCTTCCAGAATATTCCATATTCGATTTGTCTGATCTTCCTGTCCCCGATCAGATTCAGGAAAAACAATTTTTGGCAGGACACAGTTGACTGATGTGTACTTGCCGTTACATCACATCAGGAGGCGCGTGATGCCAGTGCGTCCTGGTAACTGTGATCACGGCCCTGTTTCTCCAGTGAATGGGATTGTATCAATTACCCTTGTAATTAACAAGGATTCGCTGGGGTGATTGCTGAGACCATGTGACTGACCTCTCTCAGCCTTTCACTTAGTGGTTTTAGCATCATTGCCTGAGTCAGTTATATTGGTATTGCAAAGTGGTGATTTCCCCTAACCCTATTTGTGACCTCCACATCTGTTAACTGGCATTCCCCTTAAAGACAAACTTTCTTTTCCTTCCGTTTTGTTTTTATTTTTGTGAAACTCACTATAGACTCCTCTGTGTGTGTGTGTATACACACACCACACACATATGCATATATATATATATATATATATATATACACACACACATATACATATATATATTTAATTCTGTGTTTTATAATAGATTTCTTTCTGGTCAGTTTCCCCCAAAATTGGGCCAATGAAGCCTCTTCAAAGCCAGTTTCGGTGTCCAAGTTCTCTGATGGGTTTCTTGTTTGCTGACACAGCAGTGTCTCTAGACAGCCCCTTTGCTCACCCAGCTGCAGCCATTTTTCCACCAGCCCTGCGCTGAGTGGAGACAAGTGTTTCAGAACCAACATCTCGGTGCTAAATGCTCATTGCTGTTGGCGTACCAGTACTTATAACTTTGGCATAATTTTAATTTTTTTATGGAAGAGGATGTGTGCATACACATGAGAGAGAGAGAGAAACCCCCAAAAGCGCCTGCTTCTACCACAATCCTTTTTCCTCTTTTCCTTCATCCCTTTCGGATTCTGGGCGCCTGTGTACATGCCTGGCTTGTTTTTCAAGCAATCTAGGTTGGAGCTTGAACCCTGGTTGGCCATGTGGGATCTGGCTTCCTCTGTACAGTATTTAACTGCTACACTGCAGGGCTGGCCAAATTCTGGCACTTTTTAATTATTATTATTTTTTTTTTTTGAGAGATTTTTGCTATAGGGCATAAGCTTGCTGGAGAGACAGACAGAAAGTGAGAAATCACCCCCCAGGGGGTATGACCATGCCAGAATCCCTTTTCCTCCATTCTCCTCTTGGGATCTTGGGCACACATGCCCAGTGAGAGAGTTTAAGCTGCCGGGTTCGGGACTCCAACCATGGTCAACTACGTGGGAGTCCAGCGACATAACCATTACACCATCTGCTGGCCCCCTCTGGCACACATTTTAATGAGTGAATAAATGTTACCAGGCCTCAGACATTAAGGAGTAGGAACCCACTCACTGAATAGTTCCCAGCCAGCGGCCTGTGGTGCCACCCACGCAGCCGCCCTCACCCATCCTTACTGTTTACCAGATACTGTCCATGTGCTCTTATGTGAGTCATCTATTTTATGCCCTTCAGCAGTCTTACCTTCTAGGTTCTACTGTCTCAATTTTTGGATGAAGAAACAGATTTAAAATAGTTAAACACTTGGGACCAGCAGTTGACTCACACCGGGCGCGTGTGCGTGCGTGCCCAAGATCCCGAGAGGAGAACAGAGGAGAAGGGATTGTGGTGTGGCCATCTCCCCTGGGGGGTGATTTCTCGCTTTCTGCCTCTCTGTCTCTCTCTCTGTCTTTCTGGAGAGGGCATGCGCCCTATAGCAAAAACCTCTCCAGAAAAAAAAAAAAAATCGTTAAACACTTTGTCAAGGTCACCTGACCGAGTGCAGGGGAGCGAGGGGGATGAACCCAGGCTGTCTGGCTTCAGGGCTTGAGAGTCAGTGATTCCTGACTAGCCCTGCCATTCTGGGGCCTAGGCTGGTTGGGACAACAGATAATTGCACATGTAATGACAGGGTGGTAAATGCTGACAAGACGACCCAGGTGATGGGGCAGGAAACCATTCCTGGAGGAAACAAAGTCCAGGAGCCTGAGGCTGAGTAGGAGATGCCCAGACAGGCCCTGGGTTGGGAAGTTTCAAGCTGAATAACAGGATTGGTGAACACCTGGAGGGCAGAGAGGAATCCTGCCGGGTAGGGACTGCTGTTAGCTCCGGTTGCAGGTGAGAAGGCAAGGTTGCAGAGAGCTGCTTGCCTGTGGTCACAGCCAGGCAGAGCTGGGATTTCCACAAAGCGACAGACATGGCTGGGCTCGCAACTACCACACTGGCCAGTGGGAGGCAGCTTGTTCTTTTACTAAGGAAAGCGAGGCTCAGAAAGGTTAAGGGGATTGCCCAGAGACTCACAGCCAATAGGCTTCACTGGAGCTCTTCTGATCACAGGCTCGTTTTCCTCTCAAACTGCAGAGACATGAGACGGGACCACATAGGTTCTTCCTAGCTGATGTCCCCCAAGACGCTTCCTGGCAGGCTCCTCCCAGCTGCTTTCAGCAGACACCTCTTTAGACCTCTTTCCCCCTAATTATCCAGGGGCTCGCCCTCGGATTGAGTCCTTGCACTGTGGCAGGACTCATCCTTTCCGTGGCTACTCTTCCCTACATGGCTGTAAGAGGGATCAAGTGTTCCAATGAAAAAGTAAAAGGAAAGGAGTTAGGATGTCTCTCAGCGTCTCTGCAGGTCTCTCCCCTATCTCCCAGCCAAGCCTCTGTCTCAACTGAGCCAGGATTTCCCATCCCTCGTAGTGAGAGCTAAGCTGAGGGCAGAAACCGGGCTGCAGAGCAACTTTGGGCCCACCTCTGACTTGAGTCAGAAACTCCAGGGCTGGGCCAGCCAATCTGCATTGTCACACTCTCGCTGGGAGTAATTATATCCACCAAAATGTCAAGGCTGCTCTTTAGTTTTTTAAGTTATCTCTTCCATAAGCAAAGAGGGAGAGACAGAGGCTGCACTTCTAAGAGAACCTTGGCATCATGACCTAGCCCAGCCCCAGCCAGCCCCAGATCATAGGCACGCCCTTGCTTGGTATACTTGGAGGTCTCAGGTACAAACTGGAACCTCCCCCATGTGGGCTGCCTCATAAAATGTCACATTTTACAGCCCCCTTAGATTTTTTTCCCCCAAGAGCAAAGAGGGCCACTTTTTTAAAAAAAGAATTAATATTATTTATTTATTTATTTATTATTTTAATTTGACAAGAGAGAGATAGAGCGAGCTAGCTAGCTGCCAGGTCCAGGACTTGAACCACAGTCAGATGTGGGAGTTTAGCACCTTAATCACCATGCCTCCCGCCAACCAAAGGAGGGACACTTCTTATAGTGAGTGCTTCTCAAGACACTGTCTTGATAGGGCCAGCAGGTGGTGTGGTGAATAAGGGCTCTGGATTCCCACATGGCCAACCATGGTTCAAGTCCCGAACCTGGTGGCTTGCTTTCTCACTTTCTCTCTCTCCCATCAAATAAATAAATAAAAAACTAACAATAACAAATGTAAATAAAATAAATCTTTAAAAAAAAAAATAGACACTGTCTTGGGCCACTGCTGGTCACCCTTCCACATCCTTCCTCGGGGAGCAGCTTCATCTCCAAGGCACACTCAATCCCCCACGGGAGGGACGCCCCAGACCTAGTTGCTGTCCCCAGTTTCTCCCAGAGTTCCGAGTTATGCGTGCCAATTCCCGGCTGTTGGGTTTCTTGCATGGGTGACCTGTAAGCAGAGCAAACGTGTCCATAGCCTTTGCTCAGCTCCTGCTCCTGGGTCTCGGCCCTGGGGTGGCACTGCCTCAGGGCTAAGAACCAGTGGTAAACCGAGCCTTGACTTTCCTCTTTCTCTGTCCTCCCGCATCAGTCATCCGTGCAGCATGGCATCCCACCCCACAGTGCGGGGGCTTAAGTCAACGTGACTCATTGTTTCTCGTGACTCTTCTGGTTTCACCTGGGCTCATTCCTTTGGTTTCACTCAAGGGATAGTTGGTTAGGACGTCCAAGATGGCCTCACTCCTACAGCAGCCTCAGTTTCTCTCCACGTGACCTCGCTCGCCATTCGCTGGTCTAGCCGAGCACCTTTACATGGCAGCCCAGTCTAGAACTGGGCAGCCACTTTCACCGCACTCCGTCAGAGCAGCCCAGGGTAGATGGCCATTTAGGCTCGGCAGGACGGCAGCCATTCTGGAATTAGGAAAGGCCTCTGATGAGAACACTGCCCAAGTGCTGATCATGGGGAGGGAGGTCTGAGGAATGGTCAGATGAGAAACCCGGAGCGGGGATTTGAAGGAGTCAGGATGACTACTCAGGGGAAAGCAATGGCCTCTAGTGAGGAATGATTTGTACCAACTTGCATCTTGTAGCAGTCACACCGTAGATCAGTGGATGAAACGAGACTGGAACCGGGGTCAAACTGGTTAAAATTTCAGATTCAAATTCAGAACAGGGGCATTTGGAACAGGTGCAGGATGTGCCTGTAGTTCCCTGGTTGTACCAATAGATGGCACTCTTGCCCTATTTATGATCGAGACAATCAGAAAATGGAAACAAAATTAGGCTCAGTAGAGAATTTTCTCTCTTCCCCTGGATCTAACAAAAATATTTAACAGGATCTATTTTCACAACAGGCAGTAGACATACAATTCATATAATAGAGTAAAAATAAA